TTATTCATCTGCTGGAAAGCATTAATTTACTGTAATAATACACATAAAACATTGCATTTAAAATAGCTCCATGAGGGTGAAAACCGAACATAACTCTTTCTTTGACATATATATGTGTATGTATACACACACACACACACACACACACTGCTGAATCATTACCCAGTCAATTTGATTACCATGTCCATCATCTCACATAGTTAACATAGTTAACTCTATGTGTGTGTGTGTGTGGTGAGAATGCTGAAATGCTGAAGATCTATCCTCATCGGCTCTCAAGAACATGACTCTTTATAGCAGGAATGTAAGGTAGAAAAAGCTTTAGGAAGTTACAAACTCAGACTTAATTGTCTTTCTTTCCTAGAGCAGGTCCTTCTTAGTACTGCCCTAGGGTTAGAGGTAAACGAAGAATGTTGTTCTGCCTGCCTGCCTCTTAATGCCTAGAAGTGACAGATACCTCTTGCAAAGCATTTCCAGGTAATGGAGCTTTGCTTCCACCTTGTTCTCCTCCCTGTCACTCCTCTACTGTCTATTGTCACCTGGGAGGTCATGTAAAAGTAAAGTGGAATGCCTTTGGTAAGCAAACTAGAAGAGTCAAGAACGCATCAATAGTCACAGTACAACAGCATGTCAGAAAATTCATATAAAAGAGTTAAACAAAATTGAAGTTGATTTCTCTTGCACTTAAATATAGTAGGTGTGGGGCTGGAGTTGTGGCTCCATGATGTCAGGGCTCAGGCTCCTTGTGTCTCATTCTATTGCTCCACCATCTTCAACTTGCAGATTCCATCTGGTGGTCCAAGAGACTGCAGCAATCATGTCTGCACACAAATTGTCAGGGGAACTGCAAAATAAGGGAGGAATAAGGGCATGCTAGCCCTTTAAGATTTTCCTGGATGAAGTGCATATAGTTTCCTTTTATAGCCCAGTGCCCAGAATTTAGTTTTATGTCTGACCCAGCTCCAAAAGAGGGTGGAAACACAGTCTTTATACCAAATACCCACAAACCCTGCTGAAATTTGTAAGTTCTGTCACCACCTAAACCCCAAGACTTGAACTTTACTGCTCACCTGCTTCTATCTACTGACCTTCATCCCACATTTTTCCCTAAGCTCTTTTTTCTCTTCACTCAGGCAAAAGACCCTCTAGGCACAGCATCCCATTAAGGAAACCAAAATGGCCCCTCAAGCAATAATGACTGCCCAGACCACCCAGACCAGTTTGAGATAAACCCCCCAACTCACACCTGCACAGATGGACCATGGAGTGACCTCTGGGATGACTGAAAATTACCTTTACCTCATTAGAACACTAAAACCTCCCCCTAAGGAGGACACAAGCCTCATTTATGTAATATACAATGTTTGTATAGGCATGTTTCCTGGAGGCATGACCTTATGCCCGCCTCTAGATGTGATGACAAGGCTTCCCTTTCTAAATATTCATCCTAACTCTAAGTGAAAGGAACCCATTCACCCTTGCTTGGGGGTCAGGGCTTTGGAAGTTATTCCCCGTGACCTCCTTATTTGCGGCAAATAAAGTTTCCTTTGTGCGACAACTCACCTGGTGGAGTTTCTATCTGTGACTCACCAAGGAGCGAACTCACGTTAGTTCTATTACAGTTCTATTGCTACAGAAGAGAATACTAAATATTAGGGAATAATTAGCAGCCTCCTCCTGAAGATTCTCTTTCCTTTTTTCTTAAGGAACAATTTTATAGTACTTACTAAGAACTAAGTACTGTTCTAAGCTTTTTTGGAGTCTATAAAATCATCTAATCCTCACAGCAGCACTATAGGTAAGGTTCTATTACCCATATTTTACAGATGAGAAAAGTACAGAGAAATAAAGTAACTTTCCCAAGGTTGCAAATAATTGCAGAGCTAGGATTTGAACCAGACGGTTTGGCCTAGTCGCTGTGCTAAACTGCCTTCTCTCTGCTATATTTCAGAGTATTTTTAGTCCTCGATATGAGGCAATGGAAAGGCTTTATCTACATAAGATACTGTCTTTATATTCACGAAACAAATGAGCAGAAGCTAGAAGGAAAATACACTTATGAGCTATTAATTCCAGGGCATCACTAATATTTCTATATTTCTCTTTTAAACATCAACATGAGTATAAAGAATAACATGAGGCTTAACGTAGGAACAAAGCCCCTGAATGCCCAGCATTGGGTCATTCAGTCATTTAAAGAATATGTATGTAAACCAATAACAACAATAGCAAAGATACTTAGATTTTGACTCCCTATGTAAGCCCCACTAAAATAACAGTAAGGAGATTCTTTTAAGAATAAACCCATGGGAACAAAAACAAGAGGAAAGAGAGTGGCAACAAAAATTACAGAAGTTAGAAAGCAAATGGGCAGGTAGTAGAGAGCAGATTCAGATGCTGAGTCCTAGACTAGCCACGAAGAAAGTCAAAAAGGCAACTAGATTTACCCCCAGAGGACTCTCCAAAGATTCAGGACTAAATACAGGAGGATCATTTAAAGGTCTTTCTAGGAAATGATTAGATTCCCAGACCCCCATTCCTGGTCCACATAGCCCTGCCAACTAGCCCCTCTTCATCTTGGCAAGAGATTAGCAGTTTATACTCTGAAGAGGATGAGCAGAGTGTCTGAATTCAGAGAAACCAGGCACAGCTGAATGTGGAGGGGCAGTGTTGAAATAGGAGCAGTAACTTAATGTCAGCAGAATGAATGTTGAGATCCTCTTTCCCTCCCCTGCCACCACCCTAGTCCCAAACACTATCACTCCCCACTTTAGCAACCTCCTAACGGATCTTCCTGCTTCAACTCTTGCCTGCCCCCAAGTCTCTTCTCCAAAGAAGCCAGAGTATCTTTTTTAAAGGTAATTAAGATTACATTATTCCTCAGCTAAAGGTTTTCCAAGGGCTGCTTCAGAATAAAATCTAAACTCCTTTCTGGGGTCTACAAGGTTCTGCATGATATGGTCCCTGCTTTCTTCTCCATCCTAATCTGGAAGCACTTTCCCTCTGGATCGCTATGGTCTCTTTTATTCCTTGAGCATGCCAACTTTGTTCCCCTCTCAGGGACTTTACCACTACTGTTTTCTTTTCCAGAATCAGTTTTTGCAAGGTTGCCTCTTCATCATTCAATTCAGGATTGAATGTCACCGCAAAAAACAAAACAAAACAAAAACAACCCTTTCCTGACCATCCTATTTAAACCATCTGCTGTCTCCACCCATCATTGCTTCTTTTATAGCACTTATCATTGTCTGAAGTCACTGTACACATTAAACTCCTCTATTGTGTGTTTCTCCCTCTGTAAGGTTTATGACACACACTTCCTCTGCCTCATTTTTTCAAGTAGCCTCAGCACCTATGTACTCAACTCTTATTTGTTAACTGTGAGAAAAAGAAAAGCAGCGCCAGACATTGGGAACTGAACTGACACTTACTTTTAAGGCTTTAGTGTTTTTAGGCACTGGCTGTGGTGTTCCCCTATAGAATATAACAATCTGACAGAACACCAGTATCAGACAAAATCACACTGTGGTCATGATGAAGTGAGACAACAGACAAGATCACTTAATAATCTTGCCTAAACACAGATTTAAAAACAAGGTCATTGTGAAAACTGCAGAGATACTAAATTTCCTCCCCTCCCATCTAGTAAAATTGTTGCCTCTTTACCAATTATGGATTTAGCCTTGCAATTTTCCTCCCTCCTTCTACATAAAATGTCATATGGTACCTCATCCTACAGTTGCCTCTACTTCTTGATAGCGCCCCAAACAGAATGACTCTCCTTTCCTTGAATCCTCCCCCCAAATCATCAAATACATGCCCAAATTTTATAATAAGTCATTTCTAACGCCCTGTTATTGAAATGACCCCATGGTTCCCCAAGGTGTGTGTTCTCCCTCATTGCAATGAGTAATATAACCAATTTTCTGACTACAGGTGTGTTCTTGGTGGTCTTCTGGACCACCAATATTCTCCAGCAAATAGGGAGAGTATTGACAAATTGTTGGAAAATATTGACAACTGAATGGCCTTCACAATAGGTCACAATTTAGGGTTAGCGTCTCTGTTGCATCCAGTAATTTCTCCATTCACCTAATTGTCTCCTGAACCTCCTTGTACCTAGTTGAAGAGTATATACCTTCAACCACAGATTGTCTTTGTTCTTTCCTCTAGGCCTGAGTAACAACGCTACTGCCACTCTCACTTCATCTATCTTCTCATCTTCTTAAAATAGGAGAGGAAGGAAATCTAATTGTGGAATTTGATTCTTAACAAAAACTGTGCTTTCCACCACCTCCCCTAACGGACAGGTGGTGTCCTTTTCTCTTTGGCGATTTTTCCTTCACTTTTAAAATGTCGTGTATTTTCCTCCAGTGTCACACCCCCTTTCCTTCTCAGTTCTCTAATCAAACTCTCTCTTTTTTTTTTCTATTCAGAAATGTAAATTCCTGCTTTTTTTCTCACCCCCATCACAGGCGATAATACATCTACGAATCCCTTTTCCCATTCTCTTTAGGCTCGCCCTCTCTCAGGCACCCTCCGACATTATTCTATCTACAACTCTTCCCTGGCCTAAGTGCAGTGCCCCAGTGTGCCCTTTCTTCCAAATCAGTCCTTGTCCTATAACCCACCCCAACCCAAATCAAGGACACACATCTAATTAGGGCCCTAGGCCTAATCTTCATCCCCAACCCCCGGCTATCTCTAGGTCCTCTCCCCGTCCCATCCCCTGGCCCAGACCTGCCTCTCTCTTGCGGACCGAACGCGGCCCCGCACCTCCACCAGCGCAGTGCCGCCGGCGATGCCCTTACTCCCAGCCGCCCCACCCCGCATCCCGCGCCAACCAGTCCGCGCTCGCGGCCGACGCCTCAGCCAATGCGCGTTCTGCATCCCGACCCCGCGCCCACCCGCGCCCAGGCTCCGCCTCCACGTCCGAGTCCCTCCCCCCCCGCCCCGCCCCGGCCCAGGAGCGCAGGCGCGGCAGGAGCGCGAGGAGGCTAGGCTGTCGCGCGCCAGACGTGAGCGAGGCGCCAGGCGGGCGCTCGGAGCGCGGAGTCGTGTGGAGCGAGGCCGGGAGGGAGGGAGGCCGCCGGGAGCGGCGCGCCTGGCGAGACCGGGAGCCGGGCTGGATCTCCTTCAGCACTCGGACTCGCGCTCGGGAGCCGGCGTCCGCCTGGAATTACGTTTCCTCTGGGGAGGTGGCTGGCCTCGCAGCGTGCGGCCCCTGCACCCCCGGTCGTCCAAAAAAGGCTTTGTGCCCCTTTTGCTCTTGATTTGACAACTCTGGCATTGTGGAAACACCGACTCCAGTTCATCCATAACCGGGATTCCTAATAAGAGAGGAAACGAAGGCTGTTCTCCTGCCATGTAAGTGAAGTGTGGAATCTGAAGTGTGTCGTTAAAAAAGAGCAAAACAGCCCAATCTGCCTCCTTATGGGGGCGACCCCCCTGTTCCCTTCCGCCGCCTGAGGCGAGAATTAAAAGTGCTCGCTAACTTCCCCAGCGGCCGCCAACGGTGCCGAAAGTGTCACCTCGTGCTGGGCCGAAACCTCATTCCTTCTCGTGGAAACCAGGCAGCCCCTTTTCTTAGGCTGGGCACATTTATATTCCACGAACCCATTTTCACAGAACGGCTTTTCAGCAGTTTCAGAATCCTCTGTCCTTTAGCTCGGGCTAACTATGGCAGATTTTTTCCACTCTTGCTCCAATGACATGACTTTGAGGGTTATTATTCCCGCTGTACTTCCCCAGCTAGTACCTGTTCACCTTCTAGATGCCATCTGTTGCACCGGCGAACCTTATAAACATTCTAGAAGTGGACAGGCAGGGAGAGCATAAAGGAGAAATAACCTTTGTTCAAACTTCACAGCGTGGGCTGTGCGTTGATTAGCATCAGCCTCTTTTGCAGTCTCTCACCTTAACGTTCCTTGAGCTTGCAGTTTACCTGAACGTTCTGAACTTTGTCAAATTACCTAAATCTCTTCCTACCTCTCCTCCGCACATGCAAAGTAGTTCTATCTAAATTGATCATTTGGGTTTAAGGCCCGAGCTTCAAACCTGATAGAATTCATTTTGGCCGCTTTGCTTACATTGCAGCTGTGGATTCTGCCCCTCAACAGTGCACCAGCCGTCTCAGCTTCTGCTGCACATACCTTCTGTATTTTCATTTTAAATAGTTTACGCCAATGATAAGAAATATTTTAATTTTCTATTGATCATGTGTATTTGAATATGGAGGTGACCTTATTTACAATATGCCATAATCAGGTTTACCAGATCACCTTGATTCACAATTGCCTGGTTTTCTTCATAGAACATTGTTTGTAAGGAGAAACTAGAAAAAATACAATGAAAATGTTGTTTAGAAGTAAAAGCCATATATATTTGTATTTTCTCCAACTTTTCAATGACATCCAAATTTGTTAATCTATTTTTATTATTTGTGAATATATGTATGGAATGTTAATTGCTTTAGAAAGTTCTGGTCAAAATGTGTTTATGTAAAGCGCAGAAGAAAAATAGTCTCGGAGGTTCAGAATCTGTATGTCAGCCTACTTAGATTTCTTTGGAGCCTTTTTTTTCACTGATGCCCCCACAATTCCTCCCACAATCATATTACTTAGTGAGAGATTAATGAGTGAAAAGAGAGTCTGGATGTGGGTATTGAGAAATTCCATCGTTTAATGGCGGATTGGAGGAGAGGTAGGAGGGAAAGGAGGGATTGTAGTATATCAAAAGCCAAGGGAACAGGGTGTTTCTGGGGGGACACAGGGCTTGACCAGCAGTATCTAAAACTGCAGAGAGCTCAGGGATAGTGAGAGAATTGCCAGATGTTCACTGGACTTAACAATATGAAGGTCAAAACTGACTTGAGCAAGAGCCGCCTCTGTGGAGTAATGGGTACAAAAGTCAGATTGCATCAGGCTGGAGAGCATGGACTGAGGAAAAGAAGACAACTGAGACATAACTTTTAAAAACCTTTGCTCTCAAGAGAAAGTAACAGGAAAGTTTTGATTTGAAGAGGAAATGAGCAACAGGGAGGCGTCAGAAGTTTTAGTTTTTGTTTATATTTTGTATTTATTGTTTTTTAACCAGAAGAGATGTGAGCAAGGAAAGTTGCATATACCAGAGAAAGGGGTAAAAATCAGTGGAGCAAGGTGTCCGTAGAACTAGGAGTGAATGAGATCTCTGTCGTGGGAGGAAGAATTATCCTTTTGTGGGAGGGTCACTTTCTTTATTATAATAGAAAGGAAGAATAAAAGGATTTTGGGGGTTTGTGTTTTCAATTCGGGTAAATTGAAATGGTAAATCTGATAGCTTCTGTTTTCTCTGTGGTAGGAAACAAGGTCATCTACTTAGAATAAAGAGCTTTTGGGTTAGAGGAGGGTGGGAAAAATTAAAATAATCATTCTGGACTATGGGAGAGAAGTATGGCCTGTCCTTTTGAGGTTTCCAACTGGGCCTGAGAATTAAACTGCCATAAGGCAGATACAGGAAAAGAGCACACACAGTTAATGTAAGTTCTACGTGACATGGGAGTCCTCATAAGAAAAGGAAGACTCGAAGAAGTGGCAAAAACAAATGCTTTTATACTAGGTTGAACATGGAGAGGCAATTGTGGAAAAGTAACCAAAATATTTGGGGAGGCTAAAGGAAGGTAAGGATTATTTTTAACAAGGTCTATGTTTCTTCTCTCAGCTTCAACTTCCCATGTAAGAATGATTCTTTTCTCCTTTGCAGGGAGAGCACCTTTCACATGGGAATTTCTGTCTCCTCTTTTCAGAAAGAAAGAGAGGAATCAGATTGCTCTTCTTGCATTTGCTGTTTTTCAAGTGCCTTTAGCTCAAAATAATTCTTATTCTAAAGTGGGATATTTTGGGGTGGCATATTCTGCCATCCTTCCCCTGTAAAATATAGTATAAATGCTGGAGAGTATTGGGATTCCATTTAAGATCAATGCCCATGAATTTATGGTGAAACCATACATACCCTGTGTGACTTTCCCCAGCTTGTGAAAACCAGACTCTGTTCTAGAGTTCATCCAGGGCTAGAGTGCTGCAAACAGGTGAAAGGACAGACAAGGTGGGTAGGACATTGTCAAGAACATTATCAAAGTGGTAGAGCTGGTTTCTAAATTGGAAAATAAAGGAAAGGGAAGGCTGATTGGGAAAAGGAGAGGAAGCCTCCTAGAGATCTTGATAATATTGAAGAACAGAATAATTAATTGAAGGGGATGGTAGTTTATGGTCAAAGAGCAGAATGTTTCAATTAGTTCTTTTGGAATTAGACAAGATTGAGGTAATGGCAAGGTGCAGGGTCAGGATATAATGATAGGAAAGTGACTGCAGTGGAATGGAGCAGAAGACCAATGGACATGGGGCTGTCAGCTGTTGGGAGGATCATCTCTAAAGCCATTGAAATTATCTGGGATGATCACAGTACTTTGCGTTGAGTAGAAAACTGTATGCCTAATGACAAAATCTTTAACAATGACAGGAAGTTATCAGCAGGCCAGGAGATAACGTTAGTGAGGCAGCTGAGGGAACTAATAGTCTGGCAGTGGTGAAAGGGACAACAGGAAAGACTTAGGTGCAGCATATAAGAACAAAAGCCAGCACCGAGGAACATAGAAATGGTATCTTCAGGGAACAGTAAGATTTGCGTTAAAGCAAGGAAAACACTCTGAGAACGTAAAGATACATTGGAATTTGCTGATTTTGGTCCATCTGTTCCAAAAGACACAGTGGAAGCTATGGAAAGTGGAAGGGAAATGAAGAACTGGGTCACTTGCCAGGGAGTACATTGTATCATGGAGGTAATATACTGTTGAAGGTAGCTAGAGATGATGCGGGATTTAGGCGTTGGGATTTCCAGATGAAAACAAGTGGATTTAGTGTTAACTCCCTAAGGAGAATGGGCACTGAGACCTGGTGGGCAGAGGGCATGGTTCACCCAGTGTGGAGTGAACTCTCCTAAGAGCTGGCGTCTAAGCTCACACATGATCAGTCACTGACTTACCAGCACCTTCTGACTTTACCTTCAAATCAAGGGTTCATGTATTCATCTGTTTTGGAAAATGAGGGAACTGGGCCAAGAATCAGTGACTTGTCCAACGATAGAAAACTTTTTTTAAATATCAGAATAAAGACTAGAATCAAGGTATCCTGGTTCCTAGTGCTGTTTTTTCACCTAGTTTATCTCAAGAAGATAGAAGAGGTTTCTTTCATTTGTCTACTTGTAAGAAAGCATTTTGCTTATACTTGCTTAAATGCCTAAGAAATTAGGCTGAACTTAAATAAATGGACATTTATTTGCTGGGAAAAACAACAACAACTATATTATCCTAAATCAAATAACTCCATGATACTGAATAAAGATTTTTTGATATTGTTCCTGTTGTTTGGTAATATCTTTCCTTAAAACAATCCCTATTGCCTAACCTAGTTAATATTTTATTCCTGAACGGAACAGGTAATGACACAAGAATAGGCATTTCTTGATTTAAGAAAACCTGTTCTTCAACTTGAAAGACTTACAACATAAGGGGTAATTATTTACTTTACAAAAAGAATCGATATTTCATAAGAGGCATCATAAATAGTCCACTTAAATCATTAATTTATAGTGTGATTTTATGGATTTATTCAGTCATTTAATACTTTTATTTATCAAATGTCTACTCTGTGCCAGCGAATGCAGTGGTAAACTAAACACACCAGGTCCCTGCTCATGAAGCATCGAATGAGTGAATGAGTAACCAACCAAACAACAGCAACAAAAGTGCTTTGCAGAGAATTTAAATAGGCTGATGTGATGTAGAATGGCTAAGAGGCTGTCATTTTAAGCTGAGATTTTGTTGACAGGGTCAGGATTTTATACTTAACTTTTTAAGAAACATCCAATATATTATATCTCACCTTTAAAGCTTTCTGTGGCCTTAACATTTTGGTAACTTAAAAAGATTCATAGCTAGCTGGCTTCAGTGGATTCCTTTGAATCCGTAGAGCATGTCTCTTTTTCTAAAGTTTAATTAAATACTAGAGATAGAGGAAGTGCCATCCACTACAACATTCTCAGAGTAAAACCTTACAAGAAGTTTCTTCTTTTACATTTGGATTTTTTTAGAAAACTGAGTTTTCTTATACTTGTAAGTGGCAGTATAAAAATTGAATTTCATATTTCTTTGATAACAGTTTTCCTTATAGGTAGAGATGTAATTCAGAATGCATGCCTGTTAGTAACTGGAATCTTTTGAAATAACTTGCTAGCTCTCTATGGGATTGTTGAGGAAAGTACCAGCTATGAAAATAACCTAAGATTCATTCGTATGTTCTTTATATTTGTCAAGGACTTGCTATAATCCTTTTCAAACAACTTACTAAACTCTGTTTGTAACCACTTTAATTTACTGTCAAAAATTGTGCTGTTTTACCAGTGACTACTATCCAGAAAATTATGAAATTTGAATAGTTCCTAGATTGAAATATTCTGTTTTTTATAGCTGCTACAAATGGAACTTTTACTTACTGTAATTTTATGCTCTTGACCAAATTAGAGACTTATTTTTTGAATTTACAATATCCTTACATATCTCTAGTTTAAAATGACATATGCATAAAGTTTTCTAAGATAAGGAGGATTCTATTGGAATGATTCTAGTGATGAGAGATTACATATAGCAAGATAACAGCTATCAGCAATTTTTACTTATATTTTATAGAACCTTATGGTCTGTTAGATAGCTGCAAGTGTCTGATAGTGATGTAAGTATCATATATTTTCTTCCTTTTAAAGTTTTTCTTTTATTCTGTAGCATGTTTTTGGCCCAGAGGAGACTCTGCTTCCTTGACAGTAGAGCAAAATTCCTGAAGACTATTTATTCTTCAAAAATCCTTGGACTCCCTACTTCTGCTGTAGGTATTGCTTAATCACTTATACAGATAAATATTGTACATATCCTACTATGTCAAAAAAAGATACAATTTTTCAGGTACTTTAGAATGAGTATTTCTATGCTATGTGAACTGGAGGTATCTTTTGTCATTGTTAGAGCTGACATTCCCTGAGCTACTGCTTTTGTGTGTGTGTATCAGACACAGGGCTGGGCATTGCCTACTCATTATCTCATTTTATCTTTATAAAACTTTTCAAGTTATGAATTGTTATATTCCTGTTTTACAAGTGAGAAAGTGGAGGCTTAGGTAGGTGTAGTAACTTGCCCAAGGTCACAGCTTTTAAGTGGCATAACCGAAATACCACACTCATGCCTGTCTAGCTCTAGCACTCTCAAGGAAGGGCATGCTTTGTTTGTCAAGATAGGATATTATAGTGACTATCAGTGCTGGCCCCGTGGCTTCCAGTTGATAAAATATATGGCAGATTGAGGAAATCATGGAAAAGCAAACAAATCCAAAATGTGGGCCATAACCACAGGATAGATAACTCACCCAATTTCTTCAATAAGTCAGTGGCCTGGGAGAAAAGTGGGAGAGGGTAATTTCAGAAGGACTGCTCTAGGATGAAAAGAGGCTTGAGAACTTCATCCACCAAATACAATGTGTGGACCTTGTTTAGGAACTTGATGCAATCAACTGAAATGTAAAAAAGATATATATATTTTTTTAATTTTTTTGAGAGAGAAAGAGCATATATGCAGGAGCAGGGAGGAGGGACAGAGGGAGAGGGGAAGCAGACTCCCCACTGAGCACGGAGCCCATCTTGGGGCTCCATCATCTCGTGACCCTAAGATCATGACCGGAGCTGAAATCAAGAGTCAGACTCTTAACTGACTGAGCCACCCAGGCGCCCCCATAAAAATATTTTTAAAGGCATTCAGAAAATGAATATGGATTGGGTACTAGATGATACTGTTAAAGAAACAAAACCCAACTGAGAAAATTTGAAGATCTAACTGGCTTTATTAAATGACTCATGAACAGGACACCCATCCCATCCAGGAGCAGAGAAGAGCCCCAGGGAGTTGTACAACATGGAAGGTTTTTGTAGAAGGAGGGTGGGGAAAGAAAGTAATTAGCAAAGGAAAGTAATTAATTCCAGGCCAGGTGGCTTTCCCTTGGGGGTGGGAGGGAAGCAAGGGGTCTTAGCATGCAGATTACTTCGTCTTTCTTTGAGGGATGCGAGGGGCCCATGTGGTAGACTCTTTGGTACTAATTGAAAAATTCCTGGTTGACTGGTTAAGACTACATTTCTGGGGGAAGTTGAAAGTGCAATTAGATTAAGTATTAAACTCCAGTTTGGGAATTTGGTCTAAGTGACATCATTTTGGGCTTGTGGTTCTATTTTTAACAATTCTTGTTTCTTAAAGTAACTGAGAGATGTGATCAAAATTTAAGGCATTACAAAAATACTATATCCAGCTAGGCTGTCATTGAAAATTGAAGGAGAGATAAAAAGCTTCCAGGACAAAGAAAAACTAAAAGAATTTGCAAACACCAAACCACCTCTATAAGAAATATTGAGGGCGCCTGGGTGGCTCAGTTGGTTAAGCGACTGCCTTCAGCTCAGGTCATGATCCTGGAGTCCCGGGATCAAGTCCCACATCGGGCTCCCTGCTCAGCAGGGAGTCTGCTTCTCCCTCTGACCCTCTTCCCTCTCGTGCTATCACTCATTCTCTCTCTCTCAAATAAATAAATAAAATCTTTAAAAAAAAAAAAAAGAAATATTGAAATGGGTCCTCTAAGCAAATAGTTAGCCTAAAAGTAACATAGACCAGAAAGGAATAGAGACAATATAAAGTCTCTTACAGGCAATACAATGGCACTAAATTCTTATCTTTCAATAGTTACCCTGAATGTAAATGGGCTAAATGCCCCAATCAAAAGACACAGGGAATCAGATTGGATAAAAAAAAACAAGACCCATCGATGTGCTGCCTGCAAGAGACTTATTTTAGACCCAAAGACACCTCCAGATTGAAAGTGAGGGGATGGAAAACCATTTACCATGCTAATAAACATCAAAAGACAGCTGGGGTGGCAATCCTTATATCAGACAAATTAGATTTTAAACCGAAAACTGTAATAAGAGATGAGGAAGGACACTATATCCTACTTAAAGGGTCTATCCAACAAGAAGATCTAACAATTGTAAATATCTATGCTCCTAACATGGGAGCAGCCAATTATATAAGCCAATTAATAACAAAATCAAAGAAACACATCGACAACAATACAATAATAATAGGGGACTTTAACACCCCCCTCACTGAAATGGACAGATCACCTAAGCAAAAGATCAACAAGGAAATAAAGGCTTTAAATGACACACTGGACCAAATGGACCTCACAGACATATTCAGAACATTCCATCCGCAAGCAACAGAATACACATTCTTCTCTAGTGCCCGTGGAACATTCTCCAGAATGGATCACATCCTAGGTCACAAATCAGGTCTCAACTGGTACCAAATGATTGAAATCATTCCCTGCATATTTTCGGACCACAATGCTTTGAAAGTAGAACTCAATCACAAGAGGAAAGTCGGAAAGAACTCAAATACATGGAGGCTAAAGAGCATCCTACTAAAGAATGAATGGGTCAACCAGGAAATTAAAGAAGAATTAAAAAAATTCATGGAAACCAATGAAAATGAAAACACAACTGTTCAAAATCTTTGGGATGCAGCAAAGTCGGTCCTAGGAAGAAAGTTTATAGCAATACAAGCCTTTCTCAAGAAACAAGAACGGTCTCAAATACACAACCTAACCCTACACCTAAAGGAACTGGAGAAAAAATAGCAAATAAAGCCTAAACCCAGCAGGAGAAGAGAAATACTAAAGATCAGAGCAGAAATCAATGAAATAGAAACCAAAAGAACAGATCAACAAAACTAGGAGCTAGTCCTTTGAAAGAATTAATAAGACTATAAACCCCTGGCCAGACTTACCAAAAAGAAAAGAGAAATGACCCAAATAAATAAAATCATGAATGAAAGAGGAGAGATCACAACCAACACCAAAGAAATACAAACAATTATAACAACATATTATGAGCAATTATATGCCAGCAAATTAGGTAATCTGGAAGAAATGGATACATTCCTAGAGAGGTATCAACTATCAAAACTGAACCAGGAAGAAATAGAAAACCTGAACAGACCCATAACCACTAAGGAAATTGAAACAGTAATCAAAAATCTCCCAACAAACAGCCCAGGGCCAAATGGCTTCCCAGGGGAATTCTACCAAACATTTAAAGAAGAATTAATACCTATTCTTCTGAAACTGTTCCAAAAAATAGAAATGGAAGGAAAACTTCCAAACTCATTTTATGAGACTAGCATTACCTTGATCCCAAAATCAGACAAAGACCCCATCAAAAAGGAGAATTACAGACCAATATCCCTGATGAACATGGATGCAAAAATACTCACCGAAATACTAGCCAATAAGATCCAACAGTACATTAAAATGATTATTCACCATGACCAAGTGGGATTTATCCCTGGGCTGCAAGTTTGGTTCAACATCCGCAAATCAGTGTGATACAATACATTAATAAAAGAAAGAACAAGAACAATATGATCCTCTCAATAGATGAAGAAAAAGCATTAGACAAAGTACAGCATCTTTCTTGATTAAAACTCTTCAGAGTGTAGGGATAGAGGGATACATACCTCAATATCATAAAAGCCATCTATGAAAAACCCACAGCGAATATCATTCTCAATGGGGAAAAACTAAGAGCTTTCCCCCTAAGGTCAGGAACACGGCAGGGATGTCCACTATCACCACTGCTATTCAACATAGTATTAGAAGTCCTAGCCACAGCAATCAGACAACAAAAAGAAATAAAAGGCATCCAAATCAGCAAAGAAGAAGTCAAACTCTCAGTGTTTGCAGATGATATGATACTTTGTGTGGAAAACCCAAAAGACTCCACCCCAAAACTGCTAGAACTCATACAGGAATTCAGTAAAGCAGCAGGATATAAAATCAATGCACAGAAATCAGTGGCATTTCTATACACCAACAATAAGACAGAAGAAAGAGAAATTACGGAGTCAATCCCATTTACAATTGCACCCAAAACCATAAGATACCTAGGAATAAATCTAACCAAAGACGTAAAGAATCTGTACTCAGAAAACTATAGAATACTCATGAAAGAAATTGAGGAAGACACAAAGAAATGGAAAAACCTTCCATGCTTATGGATTGGAGGAACAAATATTGTGAAAATGTCTATGCTACCTAGAGCAATCTACACATTTAATGCAATCCCTATTAAATACCATCCACTTTTTTTCAAAGAAATGGAACAAATAATCCTAAAATTTATATGTAGCCAGAAAAGACCCCAAATAGCCAGAGGAATGTTGAAAAAGAAAAGCAAAGCTGGTGGCATCACAATTCCAGACTTCAAGTTCTACTACAAAGCTGTAATCATCAAGACAGTATGGTGGCACAAAAACAAACAGATAAATCAATGGAACAGAATAGAGAGCCCAGAAATGGACCCTCAACTCTATGGTCAACTAATCTTTGACAAAACAGGAAAGAATGTCCAATGGACAAAAGACAGTCTCTTCAAATGGTGTTGGGAAAATTGGACAGCCACATGCAGAAGAATGAAAGTGGACCACACACAAAAATAGACTCAAAATGGTTGAAAGACCTAAATGTGAGACAGGAATCCATCAAAATCCTTGAGGAGAACACAGGCAGCAACCTCTTCGACCTCAGCCGCAGCAATTTCTTCCTAGACACATCACCAAAGGCAAGGGAAGCAAGGGCAAAAATGAACTACTGGGACTTCATCAAGATAAGGCTTTTGCACGGCCAAAGAAACAGTCAACAAAACCAAAAGACAACCGACAGAATGAGAGAAGATATTTGCAAATGACCTATCAGATAAAGGGCTAGTATCCAAAATCTATAAAGAATTTATCAAA